AATGATAAAATAGCAATAGTAGTAAGATGATAGTAAAATGATAAAGGTGAAAATGAAGACAAAAATAATGATAAAAATACAAACACATGACGCAAATGCCATGTTAAATAAGCACAATAAACAATTTAAAATTAAAGTAATGCATTAAATATTAAAAAATTCAAGGACGTCAAACAGATTGAAACTACTCTTAGATGACTTTAATGGAGAATTAGAGGCAACGTTCTGTAATGAGGCATTTTCAAATTTTTTCGATTCTTCATAGCATGAATCCTTACTTAACTCTAATTCTGTGATTTTGAATTTACGTTTGTAAACTATGATCTCTGATACAGTAGCAGCTACTGTTAAATTTGAAAAGGACACTTTGAAGATCAACAAACTGGTAAACCGATTTGTAAACAAAATGTCGATATCTGTCAGAAAAAAATTTTGCTTGTAAGGTAGTGTAAAAATTCAAAATAATCTGTCACAAAGTGACCAAATCACTTTAAGCAGACGTTTTTCATCAGAATCACTGAAAAAATAAATTTCAGAAAAAAAGTAGTCAATGAGAAGTAAGGTACAACATTTGTAAGAAATTAATAAAGTTTTAGAAACATCTCTGTCGACAGGCTGAAAAGTAAAATTAATTCATCTTTTTGCTTTATAAAATAGACCGGTATAGTAGAGCAAAAGTTAATTTGCTTTCAGTACCAAATCAGGAATGTTTGGTAACAGCTGCGTATGAAAATTTGGCTCTGTCAGTCACAATTTTTAGACTAGGTTTTTTCTTGTTGTTAGTTCTCAAAAAGCTACACTTTAAATGAGAAGACTACAACTGCTTTTGTGCTGTAACCGATTTGCTGATTCTAGTTGACCTATCGTAAATCTTGGCTCAAACAACAAAAATGTTATTTTAACTTTTGACTTGCGTTATTTGAGTTATTTTTTTTATCGAATAGAAAGTACAAATAAAGCAAAAAGAAAAATGTTTAATTGCTCAAAACTGTGAATGGCGTGAAAAGAAAAAATTTAGAGGAAAAACCGGTCATTGATTATCAG